GGCTGCTGACGGTGGCTCTGGCTGCTCGCTTCCTCCTTGCAGTTCTCGGTTTCTCCCTCTCCCGTGGGAGGTGCCCTCACTGGCCTTTGTGTCTGCCTATGTAAGAGGGAGAAACTGGAAATTCACGGAAACTCCGGCTGGGGGGGAGGGGGAAGGGTTTGTATAGGTGCCTTTGGGTCGGGCCACGTTCTATGGGGTCCACCTGGTGTGTGTCTCTCTAGATCAGGGGTGGGGAATGTCCGGCCCGAGGGCCGTATAAGGCCCAGAAAATCATTGGGTCTGGCCCTGCCAGTTCATTAGGGGTGAGTGAATGAAACTCTGGCCAAACAGAACAGGCTAAGGTTTAAGTTGATGATTTTGTGTGGCCCTGGACTGATGTTATAAATCTCCCAATGGCCCTTGGCAGGAAAAGGTCCCCCACCCCCTGCTCTAGGTCTTTCTTTCTGCTCATTTCTTCCCCAGAGAGGACTGCCCCGTGGGCCAAGGCCTGGCTGACAGTGTGGGGGCTGGTAGCTCAGACACAGCTGGAAGCCCGAGATCAGGAGGCCGGCATGTGGGCGAGGCCCTCCTCTGGGTGCAGACTTTTGTTTTATCCTCCGGGGTGAGGGGCCTCCCTCATCCGGGCACTAATCCCATGGATGAGGGTTCCACCCTCATGCCCTGACCACCTCCAAATGCCTGGCCTCCTAACACCACCCACTGGGCCTGGGGCTTTCAAGAAAGGAATTTTGGAGACACGAGCATTCAGACCACAGCATGTCTAAAGGACTGCGGGTCCCGCCATCCAGTGGAGACCCTGAGGCACGTCTGTTTCCGGGGTCTCACTCAAGCCATCAGCCACTCCTTAGGGCCCTGGCCAGCCATCACTTGAGTCAAAGCTACAGAATAAGTGTCACCCCGCCTCCTTCTGGCCGGACAAGGGGGAGAAAGGGTGGCTGTGGTGGGGGTGTGGCCGGAGCAGGTGCTCTTCCCACACAGTCTCAGATGCTTTGCTGAGCAGGACAACTCTGCATCCGGACATGCCCACCAGGCCATGTTTCTGGGGAGCAGCCTGGGGAGTAGTTAGAGAGGGGACGCAGGTCTGGCCGGCCTGTGGCCATGGAGGGGATGGTCTGAGTACCTTGACCTTGTGTCAGAGCGACACAGCTGACAGAGTGGAAGACCCAGGGCCTGACATGCGCTTCTCCCTCAGCCCCCACCCTGAAGATCGTCACAAGCACCCTGGGTCCTCCAAGCACCCTGGGTCCTCCCTCCCCCCTGCCAGTGACCACTGGGCCCAGCATGACCAGCCAGGAGACGCCTGATGCCAGCCAACACCCTCGGTAAGGGGCGCACATCCCAGGACTTTGACACCTGGTGGATTCTCCCCTAGATGGGGGGCAGGGATGGTGACGATGAGGCTCACTGTGCATCACCGTCACCGTGTCCCCCACAGGTCCCTGCTCAGCAGTGTGCACTTCCTGCTCCTCATATTCCTGAAGGTGCCCCTGTTCCTGAGCATGCTCAGTGCTGTCCTCTGGGTGAACAGGCCTCAGCGGGCAACTTGTGAGGAAACACAGTTTGGCTAAGACAACCTGCCACCGTCCCCGCCCACCCATGTCCTGTCCAGAGACACCGCCACTCGGGCTACAGAAGGACCTCATGGGAAAGAAGGAAGAGCACGCTTGTGGCAGTTTTTAAAGGTACCAGCAGGTGGCGCCAGAGGCCATCTGCGGAGCTTCACTGTGGACCTCTTCATGGACTCAGAAATAATTCTTCTCCAACAGGATTGCTTCTCAGTCGCTGGGTCCCTCCCGGCCAATCCCCAAATCCAGACCCATTGTATCCTGCTGGCCTTTCCCCCGGGCTGGGTCCACTCCCGGCCATCCTGCTCATCAGCCTGGGCTATGTGAGTAGGGACCCCCTTGTCTCCATGGGGCCAACCAGATGTGGACTCAGGCATTCAGGGGGCCAGGGACCAGGGCTCAAGGTACAACCAGGGGTCTGGAGCCCAGTGGGCAGCTCAGACTGGAGAAGACTGAACCTAGGGGAGGGGATGGAGCAGGCGGGAGAGATGAAGATACACCTGATTCCTGTCCAAGGCGTCAGATTTCTTGAGAAGCAACACCACATTCAGGGGGCCAGGGACCAGGGCTCAAGGTACAAGCAGGGGTCTGGAGCCCTGTGGGCAGCTCAGACTGGAGAAGCCTGAACCTAGGGGAGGGGATGGAACCAGGCGGGAGAGACGAAGATACACCTGATTCCTGTCCAAGGCTTCAGATTTCTTGAGAAGCAACACCACGTGGATCTGCTGATTTCTCACTCCCTGGGAGAGGCAGAGAGACCCAGGGCCTCAGTGAACACGTTCAGCGAGCTTGGAACGTCAGGTGGGGACAGCTGTCACCACTTCCCATTCCCCAGGAACAAGGGAACTTGTGTCTAAGGGACTAACTATGACCGGTGCCAGGAAGTGTCTAAGGAAGGGCAGCTGTGGGGATGAGAAACAAGGAGACAGAGGTGCAGGGGCGAAGAGAGATGGGTGGGAAGTGGGGAGGGGTGGTGGGGTCCATCCTGCAGTGTCCTGGGAGAGTCTACAGTTTGGCCCTGGCCTGGCATCCCATGAACAGCCTCAAAATTGGTCTTTAACATGATCTCTACAGTGAATTATCTACACCACCACAGGCTGTGTTGGTAGGCGTGTTTATGCTATGTATTTATATGTGTGTTTTATTCCTACTAAGCCACCAGAAAGTTAACATTTTAATGTAATAGTCATCTTCTCATTATCTGATTGATTATTCTTTGTGGTCATTTGTGTATCAAAAGTTGATTCCTGAACTTGACACACTTAATTCATGACACCTTTTTGGTAACCCTATTCTGACATCTTTTTTTTTTCCAATATGCTGAGAGCTTCAAAAACAAAAGTGAACTATGTGTGAGGTGTCAGGTGGGGACTAGGCTTATTGGGGTGACCACTCTGTCAGATATGTAAGTGTCTGGGCACAATGTTGTTCACCTGAACCTGAGGCCTGGAGAGGGATGGACACTCTGATGAAACATGGGGTCACTAAGGGGCAAGGGGAGTGAGACCCTTGTCAGGTCCACTCGGGTCGAGTAGGCCAAGCAAGGAGAGTGTGTCTCATTGGATGACGTGCAGCAAGGAGTGCCCCTGACTGCTATTGATTTCTGTGGCTCTTGCTGATGAGTAGAGAAGAGAGAGACAGGGCAACAGGGGGATGTCACTGTCGTGGTGAGAGGACAGAGGACACAGAAGGTCAGAGAAACAGGAGGGGAAGGGACAGATGGAGACACTTGGGGCAAGGATGGATGGGGAGTGAGAAGAGAAGAGGCCCATGTGACAGGAGTTGGGTTGCAACCAGTCTGGGGTTATGATTGCCTTTGGTTGCGGTGAGCTGGTGTAGGAGAGGAACAGAGCTGGGAAGAGAGTGTTTGGGGGAAACCGATAGATCTGGATTGTGGAAGACAAGGTTGAGAAACCAGCCCAACCCAGGAGACACTTTAAAGTAGGCCCCACCTCTTGACCAGCCCCCCTACCATTTCCAGGGCAAATTGTCCCGGGGGCCATCATGTCCTGAGACTACCGAGCCTGTCTGAGGTAGGACAGACCTGCCTCCCCACCTCCTGGGAAGGACCATCCCCATCTCTGCCCCTTGAAGAGGCCCCTGGTCACCCCTGTGAACCCCAAAGGGACACCAGGGACAGTGCCTTTGGGAAGACCGCCCTCTCTGTGCCATGGGAAGGAGAGGAAAGGCTCAGGCTCAGCTGGGCAGGGTCCCCCACTCTCCATCCTCTGAGCTCTGAGCTCTCCTTGTCCACTGTCAGACCTCTGTGCCGAGTGTCACCGTGGAGCTGACCTTCAGAAGCAGAAAGAGTAAAACATGGAGTCCTCAGAGGGTTGGTGAGCAGGGAACCCACAGGAGAGAGGACTCAGCTTTGGGTGGGACCCCACAACCAAGATGGGACCTTTGAAGGCCTCTGAGGTCGTAGAAGAGTTGGGGGCCCACAGGGTCAGAGCTCCCGTGGGTGCCTGCAGCTACATGTTGGGGGTCAGAACACCTCTAGGTCACCACCAAGGCCCGAGAGGATGAAATGGTCTGGCCTTCAGCCCAGGACTATCATTCCTGACTACAAGGAAGTGACATGTGGCAGAGGGTGGGGACACCACCAAGGAGGAAACGTCCCAGCAGCTCTGCTGTGCGGAGACGTGTGGCCGTCAGAGGAGCAGCCATGAGCTCTGAGAAGGGGCAGCAGCCTCTCTGAGGCCACGGGCCCTGTCCTGTCACTGGGGTTGAGAGCAGAAGCCCAGGGCGCCGAGAGCCGGGGTCGGCAGCAGCCTGTGCAGCTCCTGACCCTGAGCTTCCTGCACCCTGACCACCCAGCATCGGACTCAAATCTGGGCTGGACACGGAAGCGGAGAGGCCCAGAAGAGCGGAAGTGGGCACAGGGTAATCGAACCCTCATTGAGGAGGTTTGTCCGCGTCCACCCATAGGACCTGGCGCTGCTACAGGCTGTGAGAAATGACCCCGAGGAGTGGGGCCACGTGGCTGCCTTCAGCTCTGCTCCTTCTCCAGGTCCCAGGTGAGCGGGGCTGGGCTGTGTGGGGAGCTGGACCTTGAGTGGGAATGAGGAAAGACTGGGAGGGGGAGGGTGTGGGGGGTGAGGAGCAGCCCAGCAGGAGGGAGGGAGGACATGGGGGAGAGCACGGGGAGGCAGAGAAGCTTCTGGGAGCGGCCAGCACCTGCCTCAGTAGCAACCACAAGGATTCAGTGCACAAAGCAGGTGAGTCTCAACCACTGCGCCCACAGAGCTGTGCTGGGGAGGCGGGCCTGTGCTCACCTCATAACCGGGGATTTGGGCTCTGGCTGAGGGTTTAGTGGTTAGAGTGTTGGTACAACGCAGGTTCGATTTTGGGTCAAAGGCACATACCTGGACTAATGCTATCAATGTTTCTCTCTTGCTCTGCCTCCATTCCTCCCTTCCACTCTCTCTAAAAAGCAATGGAAAAATATCCTTAAGTGATTAAAAAAATCAGAGATGGGGTCTTGGTGCATCACACACACTTACACACACACACACCTGCACACACACACACACACGTGCACACACTCCTTTATTCCCATCATGGCCCTTCTTGTCTCCATGGACACCCTCTCACTGTGTCACCACTGGGAGGAGGGAGCTATCGCCCCTGGTTCCCTCGCCTGGTCTGAGGAAAGGCATGGCCTCCAGACCCTGAGGGTTCCTGAGAGTCCTGCACCCCAGGGCGCCCCTGCCCCTGGCCCATCTGGTAAGAACCCGGGATGGGCTGTGTCTTCCAGGCTGCGCCTGGTCTGAGGAAAGGCATGGCCTCCAGACCCTGAGGGCTCTTGAGGGACCTGCACCCCAGGGCGCCCCCGCCCCTGGCCCATCTGGTAAGAACCCGGGACGGGCTGTGTCTTCCAGGCTGTCTGTCTCTGAGCGGCCCCAGGCGGGTGACGGGCACCGTGGGGGGATCGCTGAGCGTGCAGTGTCGGTACGAGAAGGAGTTCAAGGAACATAACAAATACTGGTGCAAAAGCCCATGTTTGGCATCGCTGAGGACGAAGATTGTGGAGACCACAGAGTCAGAGAGAGAAGTGAGGAGCGGCCGAGTGTCCATCAGGGACCATCCAGCAAACCGCACC